AACAAATTGAATTTGTTACTTGATTAATAAAAATAAACAAAGTTTTAATTTATTTCAGGTTAGTGTATCTTATGCTAATATGGAAATTCCAAACAGTCCTATTAAAGTTACTGTAGGTTCAAAAGTTGATGTCAGCAAAATAAAAGTGGATGGTCTTGAACCAAGTATGTTTTATTTATTCCAGTATCTCTTTAAATATAAATTTAAACTAATAAATTTATAATTCACTTTGCCTATTTTTAGTTATTATTTTAAAATTAACAGAAAACAATGTATCTCACAATTAAAGTGAATTGTTATAGAAGCAATAAATATTTTTTGGTTAAAATATGTCCATTGACAGATTTATTTATTTATTTTGCTAAATATATGAAATACACAAAAATGAATACTTATATATCTTTATTCCTCAGTCTACTTAAATATTAATTAGAAATTGACTTGTACTTTCTATTTAAAATTTGCTAACTTTTAAGCTTCCATAAAATATGCATAACAGTACACTATTTAACAATGGGCAATTTTGACCATAAAATATTATCAGAATTACAGATCAAAATATATTCTAAGGAACATTCAACTGCTTATCTTCTAAAGCATTTATTATAAATAATTCATTTGTTAAATATAANATATGTCAATTCAATATCTGCATAACTTGATATATTTTCATTATATTAAAAATAAAATACTTTTTGATATATTATAAATGAGAGATTTATATTAAATCAAGTGCATACATTAATGTATTAAGCAACTTAATAAACATGTGAGGAAAACCATAATTAATTAGTTATACACAAACATGTACCATACACAATATGTATTAGTATAACTTTTTATAACAGATTTAATATTTATTTTGGAAATGTAATGATGTATTTTGGCCATATCCAAAAATAATTTAGCTATTTATTGAAAACACAAAATTTGTCTAAAACTGTTATTAATTTATTTTTATCTTTTAAAATGCTAACTTATTAAATTAAAACTATATTGGCTACTCCCTGTCACTTCATAACTAGTCATGACAATACATATTTATTGTTAATGGTTAGTAATTAGTTTTAATTTAACACAATAACTAAATTTATTTTCATAAATTTGTAAAATTTATGAAAATAAATTTTGTAAAATTAACTTTTAAATAATTTACTTGTGTAATACACACATAAATAGCTTTAAACCTATTCTAGTTTTTAAATTATGTAAGCAATATTCCTTAATCAAATCTGGAAAACATTGTTAATCTTTTATTCTATATAGCAGCAAGTTATACTTCAGAATAGAAGAATCATGAAATAAGTTGTTATATTCATAGAATAAAAATTTAATTCATTTATTTATAGAATTAAATGTTCAGTGTGTTTAGAAATAGTTTTTCTTACTAGAATTTCTTAATTTTTTTGTGTTTTTATTATAGTCTGAAAATAAAATCATGCTTACATTTATTTATAGACTGTTTTATGTATTTTGAAAACAAGGAAAGTGTATAATGAACATCATAATCTCAGTTTCTAGAAAAACATTTGTTGATTAATGAAAGTTTGTATTGATAATGGATAAAATTTGAATTTGGTTTCAGTATAGAAGTTTTTAAATTATTTTTAATACATTATTTCTTTCAATTAAGCTCTGATACATTCCACACAAATCAAAAATGAATAGTCTTATTCACTTTGTTTTGCAAAATGATAATATGGCTCATAATGTAATTATGAAAATTATTTATGAAGCATTTTGAAAGAATGTATGAAAATATATGAATTTTATTTTTACATAAAGACAAGTTTCCTATAAATATGAAAATTGATTTATTAACATTTAAATTTAGTGAGTTTTCCTTTAAAAAATTTGAAAAATGAATAGTCTTATTCACTTTGTTTTGCAAAATGATAATATGGCTCATAATGTAATTATGAAAATTATTTATGAAGCATTTTGAAAGAATGTATGAAAATATATGAATTTTATTTTTACATAAAGACAAGTTTCCTATAAATATGAAAATTGATTTATTAACATTTAAATTTAGTGAGTTTTCCTTTAAAAAATTTGAAAAAAATAAAAATAAATTTTTGAAACAAACTGCAATAATATTTTTCATAATAATATATATATTAAACTTGTTTTAAAAATTTAATTATTACGTTATAAAGATTCGATTATATTATAGATTGAATTTATATCAACACTATATATTTACAACATTATTATATTATTATATTGATGAGAAAACATTAAATTACTAAATTTGTATTGAATTTTGAGGAAAAAAATATTTCATTCAAAAATCTTAAATCATATGGCACTTAAATCATAATCATATAAAATATTTTATAAAATTGGAATTTATTTTTATTAATATTCTAATCAAACATCTTTACTATACCCAATACAATTAAAGCTATCCATCAACCAAAGCTGAATATTAATATTCTACTAAGTAAGAAATTTATTTCTACAAACAATTAATGTATAAAAAATATCAATAAATTTTATTTATTATACAAAATAAATTGTAATTCCAGTATAATATAAAAATTACAACTGTTGAAATTTTAATAATAATCATGTCAAAATTTTTATATGTAATTAATTACAAGTTATTAGCTCAGCTTAAAAATAAATGTCAGCTTACAAATTTAATTATGACAACTAAAATTTGTTTAATAAATGTTTTTTGCATTTAGGGTACTTACATCAAAATTTCTAAAAGAATATGTACTTAGGACGTATTTTTAAATGTTATGAAAAAACAATTTTATCAACCATAAATTTTTGTTATATTGTTTAAGATTTTGCTTTAGCTTTATTCAAGAATTCTTATAAAATACAATGCATTATAATTAAACAGGTATGATTCTAGAATTGTACTGTTACATTTAATTTTATAAATAAATGATAGAAATAACCTCAAAAATGTTTTATCATATTTATTAAGATATGTGTAGAAAACATAAATTATAATTTATTTAAATTTAATATATTTTATTCAGGAACTGAATTTGCAAAACTTTCAATGCATAAAAAAAATCTTTTTAAAATAATTATGCAGTTTGTCTTCTATGAAATGATTTAAATTACTAATAAATCTAGCAATACAATTTGAAAAAATATTTTTAATGTATTCTGCATTGTTTAATAATTTTGAATAAAATATATTAAATTTGCATTTATTTTTATAATAGAAACTATATTTTAATTCTTAGAAAATTCAATATTAAAATACTTTAACATGAACTTCTTTTAAACTTTTTAAAGATTAACAATGTTTCTAAAACTACAACAAGAAAATATTCTAATAATTTATAGCTATGATGTGTATATCAGAAAATAACTTTAAAATTACTTTTAAAAATTTAATTTTTCAAACAGAAAAATATTTATATAAACTTTTTAAAGTTTTAATTACTGGTAATACTTAATTACCAGTAATTAACCATTGTCATAATAATGGTAACATATATATGAAATTAAGAATTAATGTAATGATTTTTTTAATATGTCAATTCAATATCTGCATAACTTGATATATTTTCATTATATTAAAAATAAAATACTTTTTGATATATTATAAATGAGAGATTTATATTAAATCAAGTGCATACATTAATGTATTAAGCAACTTAATAAACATGTGAGGAAAACCATAATTAATTAGTTATACACAAACATGTACCATACACAATATGTATTAGTATAACTTTTTATAACAGATTTAATATTTATTTTGGAAATGTAATGATGTATTTTGGCCATATCCAAAAATAATTTAGCTATTTATTGAAAACACAAAATTTGTCTAAAACTGTTATTAATTTATTTTTATCTTTTAAAATGCTAACTTATTAAATTAAAACTATATTGGCTACTCCCTGTCACTTCATAACTAGTCATGACAATACATATTTATTGTTAATGGTTAGTAATTAGTTTTAATTTAACACAATAACTAAATTTATTTTCATAAATTTGTAAAATTTATGAAAATAAATTTTGTAAAATTAACTTTTAAATAATTTACTTGTGTAATACACACATAAATAGCTTTAAACCTATTCTAGTTTTTAAATTATGTAAGCAATATTCCTTAATCAAATCTGGAAAACATTGTTAATCTTTTATTCTATATAGCAGCAAGTTATACTTCAGAATAGAAGAATCATGAAATAAGTTGTTATATTCATAGAATAAAAATTTAATTCATTTATTTATAGAATTAAATGTTCAGTGTGTTTAGAAATAGTTTTTCTTACTATATTATTTAAAATACTTCAAATCTATGTAATTGAAATATTTTAAGAATTAAAAAATGTTTAAAAGTTGTAAATAAATATTTCAATTCTTGTTGAATAATATTTATTTTCAATTTTTAACATAAGATTTAAACTTTTTTAACTATATTATAATAAAGTTTAAAAAGAAAAATCTGTTAAAAATGAACTGATCTGATATTTATACATATTAAGTTACTTTTTGACAGATTTTATTCATTAATTTTAATTAGTAATAATTTTTTTAAAATATTTATGTAAATTATTTATTTAAATTCTATTTATTTAAAATTAAAAACAGAATGTTCAAAAAATTATTTTTTAAGTTTTGTAACTATCTAAACTTAGTACTATCATTATCATATATATATAATAAAAAAATATATATATATAACAGCTTTGCTTAACTATTAGCTATGCATGTCTAAATTCTAAATATCTGTAAATTATATATTTTGACATGGATTAAATATGGCAAAATTCATCTCACAAAAATAGTGTTTTTTAATATAATAAAAATGTGTTGTCATATCAAGTATGCAGAAATAATGTAATGTTTAATACTTGGTTTGACTTCAGCTAATATCAATATTTTGTAAAATCAACTTCTAAATAATTTACTTAAATTATCTTGTCTTTAATTTATTTATTTGTTAAAATTACTACATTTAAAACTGTAGAAGGAAAGAAATTACTTGAGACATAGTTAAATTAAACCAAAGGAAAATCTACAAGATAAAAGTTTTTATAAATTGTATATTTGCAAATTTGATTTGAAATGCATTTATTTTATATAAGTGATTAAAATTCATGAATCAAAAATAATTTTAAGACATTCTGTATTCTTGTTTTTAATTTTAAATAGATATTTTATATTTAAATTGATTTTTCAACAGCATTGAATGATTTTATAATAATATTTATTAATAATAATAATGGCATGATTATCTATGCAGTAGTTTATATTAATTTAAACTTTTTGATATTTATTTTTAAAAAATGTATTCATTTTCTTACTTACAAAATGCATGGTTTAAATTTGTAATGATTCTATTTAAGAAACATGTCACTAATCATTATTTAATAAATTATAATTCTTCTTTTAACACTTTGGTATTGTTATATTGTTATTTTCTACTGTTTTTATTTTATATTTATTAAAATAAAAACAAATTTTAATATTTTTTCCAAATTAATTATTTAAAATTTTTTTTAAAGATATACCTTGAAATTTAAGAGAATTTAAATAAATTATTTTTTTAAACTTTAAAACTTTTTAATGACAATTATCTTTACATTGTTTATCTTGTTTTATCTCTATTTAATGTAAATGATTGTAATGAAAAGTTATTCTGAATTAATGATTTCCAAAGTGTTAATATAAAATTAATTGAATGAAATAATTATGATAAAATATTAAGGATCAAATTTTTATCTCAACTTTTAATTGCATATAATTATACCACAACATATTAATCAATTGAAAGTTATATACTTTTAACTTCTTGTATTTTTATATTACTTACTTATATTTCTTTTCTATGTTACTGATCTATAATGTAATTATAACATTTTTGAAATAAGTTTTTTTTCATGTTGTATCAATGAATGTCAGGAATTTATAATATAGATGCATCACTTTTAAACTTTCTATAATAATGTCTTTTTGTGCTAAAAGTGACTAATAAATAAGTCCTGCAATAGTTGCCTGTCCCTGTTTGCACCTAATAACTACTGCTAATCCTTAAATATCCTGTGTGAATTGAAGTGGGCTGAATGGGGTGCCCTATCTACTTTCACCCAATCAGCGGCTCCTATCAACTCCCTGCAGCAGTTCAGAGTGATCACCCAAGGTGCGGGAGGAAGCCATGCAGATTTTTCCATTACCATCACGAGTCCTTCTGGCCGGAAGATTCAAGCGCATGTTATCCCTACTGCGGAAGGCTTCTTGGTGAACTTCACACCAACAGAACTTGGCGAATATCTTCTGATCATCTCATTTGGAGGAACTCCACTTTCACCACATCCTTTCAGAATGACGTGCATGTATCCCGTTGACCATAACAAAGTTAGAGCTTTTGGACCTGGTTTAAGTAAAGGACAGGTTAATCGACCTGCTGAATTTATGATTGACACGAGAGGTGCTGGACAAGGAAATTTGGGTGTTACGGTCGAAGGTCCATGTGAAGCTGCCATAAACTGTCGTGATAACGGAGATGGAACTTGTTCAGTTGTATATTTTCCCACTGAAGTTGGAGATTACAATATTAATATCACCTTCAATAATCTACACATTCCAGGATCACCATTTACAGCAATCATGATGACTGATGTTGATGTCCGGAACATCAGGGTGATGGGCAGCGGCATTCAGCCCCAGGGTATGGGAGCCAAACAAATAACCCCACCAAAATTATTATTATTTTTTCTTTTCCATTTAGTACGTGCTTTATGCATGAATAAAAATTATAGCTATTGTAAATTTTAAATTCTAAATTTAAATTAGCTTTGGCTATTAAGTTATTATTGTCAGAAATAAATATAGAAAGTATTAAATTTCTTGGAATGAAATCTTTTCTGAAGAGAGCTGAATTTAGCATTGCTGTAGTTTTAGCTGCTTATCAGCTGTTAAATTTCTGCTAATGCTGCCAAATTTTTATAAATGCATGAAAAATATAGATACTAATTTTTAAATTTCTATGAACATATTTTAAATAAAAGGAGGTTAATAAAAAGCTCTCTTTAAAAAATTTTATTTTTTTAAATACAGTTTTATCTTAAAAATAATTTTTCATAATTTGATGTAAATATATATAAACATCCAGTCATAAGTAAATAGTTAAAAACGTGATAAATTGTTGTAAGAATATGAAAAAGTATTTTAAAAAGATTTTTTGGGGAGAAATTAGAAAGTCTTAAATGATAATTGATTGGTGTTTTTAAATATTTTATTCAAATTATGAATTTGATTTCTTAAATATAAATTGACTTTTTTAACATTGGTTCCATTTTATCAGGTGTATTCTTGGATTCGCCGACGGATTTCATTGTCGATGCTCGAGCAGTTTCAAAAAGAAGTGATGCTAAAGTTCAATGTACAATTACAAATCCATCTGGAACGAGAACTGATTCATTAGTTCATAGTTTGAATGACGGTACTTACCGAATCTGTTATACTCCATTTGAAGAAGGTAATATATTCAAAAATATATATAGTATTTCTTTTATGAAATAAAATATTAAAACATTAGGATTTTTAAATCTTTAGAACAAAGACAATTTATTGATTACATTAGAATTTTTTTTTTAATAAAAATCGAAAAATTTGGATTAAAAAAAATAGATTTGAGACATAAAAAATCATGTAAATATAAGCATTACAATTAATTAAATTGCAGTTCTAAAACAAAATATAGTTTTAAAGTTTAAATTTATAGAACAATACATTATTATGGTTCAATGTGTAATTTAAGTATGTGTTCTGCTTTTACAGTTTAAATCATCAATTGAAAAGTTCCAGCATAAGCAATAAATTTACTTTAATTCTATTATTAAATATTATAATAATATCTTATATTTATAATTCTTTAATTTTTGTTACAGGTAGACACACAATAGATATATCATATGATGGTGTTCCAGTACCAGGAAGTCCATTTAAAGTAAATGTGATGAGAGGTTGTGATCCACGAAAATGTAAAGCATTCGGTCCAGGATTGGAGCATGGTATAGTTAATCAAGTAAGAAATACAATATTTAATTTTAATTTATATAAAGTTGATTTTAAACATTTTTTCATAGAATTCAGTTAAACATAACAGCATTATAACNAATACGTAATTAGCAAAAAAAAGTTGAAATAAAGTGATTAAAGAAAAATTATTACAAATATCGTAAATAACAGTTCACAAATGCATATATAGAGATATTTTTTGGAGGGGGAAATGGTCTTCACAATTTGAAATCGATCGAACACAGTGAAATTCTCGTATACACTCGCGCCATATATCATAGGATAAATGTACTGTGCCAGAAATCTTCGCAGGAGTATATTAAACGACTTCCCAAAATTTCATGGCAATCAGATAAACGGTGTGGTAATGCATGAAGGACAGACACACAGACATACATTCATTTTTATATATATATAGATTATACAGTTTGATAGTTTATAGGTGATAGTTTTACCTGATGTATTATATGACAATAACTTGCTTTGTCATGATTTGAATATAGTATCTTATTTCTATCCTGATGTCTGTTTTAAAGATATAACTACATTTACAATTTAGGTACAATGGAAATTATAGATGAACTGAAATATATCATTTTTTTATTATAAAGTCACTATATAATGATGATAACAATATATTTTATTTAATTCCATATACAGTGGTGCCTCGTATAATGTACTTAATCCGTTCCAAGTGCATGTCCGTTAAGTGAAAAGTCCGTTATACGAAACGCATTTTCCCATAGAAATACATGTTAAAACATATAATTCGTTCCGCAGCATAAAATAACTGTACTNAAATTTAAGAGAATTTAAATAAATTATTTTTTTAAACTTTAAAACTTTTTAATGACAATTATCTTTACATTGTTTATCTTGTTTTATCTCTATTTAATGTAAATGATTGTAATGAAAAGTTATTCTGAATTAATGATTTCCAAAGTGTTAATATAAAATTAATTGAATGAAATAATTATGATAAAATATTAAGGATCAAATTTTTATCTCAACTTTTAATTGCATATAATTATACCACAACATATTAATCAATTGAAAGTTATATACTTTTAACTTCTTGTATTTTTATATTACTTACTTATATTTCTTTTCTATGTTACTGATCTATAATGTAATTATAACATTTTTGAAATAAGTTTTTTTTCATGTTGTATCAATGAATGTCAGGAATTTATAATATAGATGCATCACTTTTAAACTTTCTATAATAATGTCTTTTTGTGCTAAAAGTGACTAATAAATAAGTCCTGCAATAGTTGCCTGTCCCTGTTTGCACCTAATAACTACTGCTAATCCTTAAATATCCTGTGTGAATTGAAGTGGGCTGAATGGGGTGCCCTATCTACTTTCACCCAATCAGCGGCTCCTATCAACTCCCTGCAGCAGTTCAGAGTGATCACCCAAGGTGCGGGAGGAAGCCATGCAGATTTTTCCATTACCATCACGAGTCCTTCTGGCCGGAAGATTCAAGCGCATGTTATCCCTACTGCGGAAGGCTTCTTGGTGAACTTCACACCAACAGAACTTGGCGAATATCTTCTGATCATCTCATTTGGAGGAACTCCACTTTCACCACATCCTTTCAGAATGACGTGCATGTATCCCGTTGACCATAACAAAGTTAGAGCTTTTGGACCTGGTTTAAGTAAAGGACAGGTTAATCGACCTGCTGAATTTATGATTGACACGAGAGGTGCTGGACAAGGAAATTTGGGTGTTACGGTCGAAGGTCCATGTGAAGCTGCCATAAACTGTCGTGATAACGGAGATGGAACTTGTTCAGTTGTATATTTTCCCACTGAAGTTGGAGATTACAATATTAATATCACCTTCAATAATCTACACATTCCAGGATCACCATTTACAGCAATCATGATGACTGATGTTGATGTCCGGAACATCAGGGTGATGGGCAGCGGCATTCAGCCCCAGGGTATGGGAGCCAAACAAATAACCCCACCAAAATTATTATTATTTTTTCTTTTCCATTTAGTACGTGCTTTATGCATGAATAAAAATTATAGCTATTGTAAATTTTAAATTCTAAATTTAAATTAGCTTTGGCTATTAAGTTATTATTGTCAGAAATAAATATAGAAAGTATTAAATTTCTTGGAATGAAATCTTTTCTGAAGAGAGCTGAATTTAGCATTGCTGTAGTTTTAGCTGCTTATCAGCTGTTAAATTTCTGCTAATGCTGCCAAATTTTTATAAATGCATGAAAAATATAGATACTAATTTTTAAATTTCTATGAACATATTTTAAATAAAAGGAGGTTAATAAANTTTTGCTTTCCGGTTTGCTTCTATTAGTTGGCGGTCTACCACGTTTTTTTGGTGAACGTTGCATACTCATTAATTATTAATTTTCCTCGAACTTGGTTATTTCTTATTAGTATTAAACACTTTTGATTAATTCAGATAATAAAATTGAAAAATACACTAAATTCTAGATTCACGTCGAGGTGTAGAAACAAAGTCACCAGCAGCGCTCACGGTCAAGTCACGCCCCCAATATCATATATATATATATATGATATTAAAGAATACAGATTTACTGTTATCTTATTGAAAAATGTGTGGAACAAAATATTGTTAGCTACATTATAAATTATTTTAGTTAGAGGATTTCATTTATTTTTTACATAAACTTGGCAATGCTATGAAAGCAATGATTGCTACCCCAGAATAACATAACATAACAACAACAAACTCATAATAAAAAAAGATGAAAAGAAAAAACAAAAAATTAATAACATCAACAGTTTAATCATTATTGTAATTCTAAGATTTTAATTTTTATCATTTTTATTAGAATGGATCTCCTGAGTTCTGTACTAAAATTTACAATATAATTTATTTTTGAATCTGTTATTCTGTAAAGATTTTTTGAAATTCAATATACTAGCATTTATTTTCATATAGAAACTTAAAAATCACTCTATTTTTCATAATTGATTAAAATCTTAAAATAAATTTTTAGTGTTTTTTAACTGTGTAAATTCAAGTTTTACAGTATCGTATTATTATGAAACGTTTTGATAAAATTAAAAAAATTTTAAAAATCCTAATTAGATTTTGTGTTAATATGATCCAAGTCTTATGTAAAAACAAAAGTGTTTGAGCACATTATTCATTTTTGTTATTTAATATCCAGCAAGATGGATCCACTTTCACTATTTTGATGGATATTTTNTGGCAGTCTAAATTTAAATGACAAATTAATTTATAATTAAAAATTATTAAAAGTATAATAATGCTTTGGATAGTTAGTTTCTAATATAAAAAATTATGATAAAATGACAAAATGATATAAATCAAACACAGTGGAGTCCACTTAACAGAGCATCAAATAAAATCACTTAAGAGAATATTCTCCCATGTTCCTAATTTTCTGTTTTACATTTTACATTAATGGGACCTCTGTTAACAGAAAACTGGATAATAGAGCAATATTGATATCTGTTTAAATGAGTGCAGCAGTGTTGGCATTTTTAGAGCAACAGTCTGTACAACAGAGTTCTATTCTAAGGAAGATTTGTAAGGTTCTATCTTTAATCTTAAGGTGCATCACCACTCTGCATATGGTGACAGGGCTCTATGTTAAAATATTTGTTTAAATTTGGCAAAACCTTCCATTGGTCTGTTTTATAATAAGTTGACAATCAAAAGATTTCTCACAGAACCATAATGAACACATGAGAAGCAATTGCATATTAAAAAAGTATCATAAAATATATGAACAAACAGTGCAATTCATATATACATCTTTATCTTGAGGGAATATGGTAAGAAGTGATTAGCAGCCAGATATCAGAGGTTTCATGATCTTACTTTAAGTGGCACTGAACTTATTTGTATTTATGCTGTAGGTCCATTAGAAAGCATTCAGAAATTTTCAAGTAAGGACATTCACATCTTTTCAGCTAAGCCACCTGCTGCAATTCTGGGAAGAAAGTAATGTGACTAATAAATATATTTTATATTATATAATATACAGTATATTTATTATATAATATTTATTTACTGATTATTTGATAGAACAATAAAATTTATGTAATGCAAGTTCAACAGCAGGTAGTGATAGCAAGCAGGAAATAAAATTGATGTATAAGAATGGAAACCACTAAGTTATAGTAAAATTGTTATAGTGAATTTTAACATTTTTAAGTGTGTTATAACTTACATAAATTCCCAAGAGATGAAAAATGAAGAGAATACCATTAACAACTAATTATGTGATCTTATTACTTTGGATAAGGGCATATGACACACTGATCCCGAGGGTGCTCTCTTTAAGTGGACTCAACTGTACTTAAATGAAGAAAAAACTTTGATAATTGAATTATGAAAATAAAAACTTTTTTTTATCAATCTTTTACCTCATCTAAAAATAACTTTTATCTCAATTTAGCATCAAGTAAATTTTTCTCACCAATAGCCTTTAAGTTTTCAACTGTAAATTAACTCTTGTGAATGTAAATAATATAATGTCATCAATGTAATTCAAGAACTGACATTGTAATTAATCTGATGATAGTTTTATAAGTTTCCACAAATATATTTAGTTAAATTTCTTGTGAACCAACTTAAGAGTTAAAATTTAGGATGTCCTTGACTCAAGATTCTATTCATCTTAATTGCTGAAGCAAGTATATTATATATAAACATAGCTTTTTTTTTTTTTTTTCTTTCTTTTGCAAAATAGATTTCAACTTAATTTATAAATCCTCATACTGCACAGTTTATAACATATTTGTAAACAGTGTCATATGTTTATATTACTATATGTTTATAGATTTATTGAATTTTTGGCAAGAAAAAATATCTTTTTTGTTTATCTTATACTTTATTTAAATCCATGAAGGTTACATGTAATTTTTTTCTTTTTGTAAAGTTGGCTTTATTATAATAAAATAAAAATAAACATTCCATAGTATCAAACTTTCTCATCCAAAAATGAAGCATAAATTTTTAATATTTTTTAAAAATATTTCCAATGAATTGCTATTGAGAGAAATCATATGATAAATTTTGAAATATGAGACAATGCAATGTCACAAAATATTCTGTATAAAAACTTATTATTTTTAATACAAATTATTTTGTTAGAGCTTAATTTTGCTGTCTGTTTGTCTGTCCTTCCTTAATCTCAAGAATGGAGTTAGCTGAAAATTGAGATTAGATATGGAAAGCTTATTGGAGCTTATTGATGAGACGCCCTGATTAACTATATACAAACTTCCGATTTGCACTGGAAGGCACCATTATTTTACTTTGAAAATTTTCCCCTGAAAGGAGTTAGGTGATTGGCACAACTCTATTGCTAACAGAAAGTATGATATAGGTGCAAGACTACTAATTTGAGGTGGAGAGCATATATTTTAAATAAAATAAAATAAAAATATGATTAAAAATTGCAGTCTGGCATTGTGANTATGAAAAAGTATTTTAAAAAGATTTTTTGGGGAGAAATTAGAAAGTCTTAAATGATAATTGATTGGTGTTTTTAAATATTTTATTCAAATTATGAATTTGATTTCTTAAATATAAATTGACTTTTTTAACATTGGTTCCATTTTATCAGGTGTATTCTTGGATTCGCCGACGGATTTCATTGTCGATGCTCGAGCAGTTTCAAAAAGAAGTGATGCTAAAGTTCAATGTACAATTACAAATCCATCTGGAACGAGAACTGATTCATTAGTTCATAGTTTGAATGACGGTACTTACCGAATCTGTTATACTCCATTTGAAGAAGGTAATATATTCAAAAATATATATAGTATTTCTTTTATGAAATAAAATATTAAAACATTAGGATTTTTAAATCTTTAGAACAAAGACAATTTATTGATTACATTAGAATTTTTTTTTTAATAAAAATCGAAAAATTTGGATTAAAAAAAATAGATTTGAGACATAAAAAATCATGTAAATATAAGCATTACAATTAATTAAATTGCAGTTCTAAAACAAAATATAGTTTTAAAGTTTAAATTTATAGAACAATACATTATTATGGTTCAATGTGTAATTTAAGTATGTGTTCTGCTTTTACAGTTTAAATCATCAATTGAAAAGTTCCAGCATAAGCAATAAATTTACTTTAATTCTATTATTAAATATTATAATAATATCTTATATTTATAATTCTTTAATTTTTGTTACAGGTAGACACACAATAGATATATCATATGATGGTGTTCCAGTACCAGGAAGTCCATTTAAAGTAAATGTGATGAGAGGTTGTGATCCACGAAAATGTAAAGCATTCGGTCCAGGATTGGAGCATGGTATAGTTAATCAAGTAAGAAATACAATATTTAATTTTAATTTATATAAAGTTGATTTTAAACATTTTTTCATAGAATTCAGTTAAACATAACAGCATTATAACTTCTTAGTATTAATTATAGTATACTTTTTCTTGAGATACATTATAAAGTTGTAAAATTTGTTAAATATTATGAAGAAAATATTGTATAAGAATATTTTGAGTTATTTAAATTTTGGATATTTAGTAAGATTATTCAGTCAAAATTAAATATATTTTAATTGATTTAAATTTTTTAAAATCTTAAGCTGGCTACCCATGTACTGGTATACCAGACAAGCACATCTGTTCAGGTATACTGATGTGTGTAATCAGCTTTAGAATTTAAATTATCTTGAACCTTGAATAAAATTTAAAATATATATACACAGTGAAATATTTTTATAATAAACCTTGTAATAATGAACTCTTCAGAATAACAAACTTTTAAATTTTCCATAGGAATTATCAGTTTAATGAACTTTATTGAGAGGTACAGTACTTTCAAGTTTGTTATCCTTAACCACTCGACAGTGAGGGATGGATATATCTGTTAAATTCTTTTGGGGTATCGCCAAAAACTACCATGAAAAAAAATTCGCATAAAAAATGAATTATGTAACAATAAAAAAAGACTTTTCTTTACTAGACATAACTGTTTACAAAATCTTTTTCCAAAACGGTAATGAGAAAAAACACATGGAAAAAATATTTTAAAAATTTCCCATGTTTATTCTCCACTACTTTGGGATAGCACTATACCTGACTATCCCACTGTTGAAAGGTTAATATTTTCATATCAATATGTTTGAGCATTGAAAATTAAAATTATAAATTATAACCATAATTGTAAATGTCTTAATAATTTTATTATGTGATATAATTATTTTAAGAATGAAGTTATGATATTTAATCATAATACTATTCTGACCTTTCAAATAAATAAAAATAAGCAATGAAAATAAAATGAGCAATTTAAACATTGTAGATTATTTCATAATAAAGAAAAAGGTATTGTCAGATTATAATGTTCCATAAAAACACAATTTTGTCACAAGTTTCATATTTATTGAGATGAAAAGTTTATTCTTAAGAATTTAGTCGGGTTCAAACTTGAAAATAATATGATTGAAGTAAATCACTAACAGTAATTCCTTCCTTTCTTCCTGGTTTTATATCAATAAAATAGATTTTAGTGATATTATTTAATTTAGTATTAATTGGAAATCATAAACTAATATTAATATTTGACTTATAAGATTTACCAAAAACATGTTCACTATTACTTTTTCAGATTTCAGTTTTTCTTATGATGCATGATGCATTCTTATTATGTACTTAAACCATGCATCATAAGGATGGCTAAATTATTGATATGGTTTTAATTTTGTTCTTGTGTTATATAATTTATATAATATGCAAAAATAGTCATTTGAGCAATTATAATTATAAATGATATCAATTTATATGCCTCAAACATATTCATATGAAAATTTTAGGGATAACAAACTTATAACAGTACTGTACCTCCCAATAAAGTTTGTTAAACTGATAATTTGTTGTAATGAAAAATATATGTTAATTATTATCAAGGAAGTTAAACAGCTGTATTTAAAATCATTTGCAATTTCATACAGGATTACAAATAACTTTTATACATAATTTTATAATATGCAAATATAGAATAAGAACTCATAATTTTGTATTTATATGAGTGAATATAATCAGAACTGTTTTTTACATACTAACAAAAAACACAAACAAAGAATAAACCTGAATGAAACACTGAAGTTTTTTTGGCTAAGAGTCAAGCATCATTCTGTAAAGAGAAATCAGATTTATCTATTGCTTCTTGTAGTCTTTGTTTTCTTCTTATGTAAAGTATTTATTACAGTTTACACAATGCTACTATAAATCAAGACTTAATCAAAAAGAATGCTCAAGTGACAACCATTTAATACCAATTTATCTTTAAGTGATCACAATCATTAAAGATAAATTGGTACAAAGTATACAATATATAATGTACGTGTTATACATTGTAATTAATTAATTTTATAATGATTAATGTTTTGTAGATAATAGTAAAAATTTCTCATTTTTTTTCTCTCTCTCTCTCTTTTATATATATATATATAAAAGAGAGAGTCAAGCATCATTATATATATATATAATGATGCTTGATCATTGCATAATGATGCATATCATATATAATGATATATATATATAACTCAACTAGAATTTAATTTCTTTTGCTTTTAATTTAAAAAATTTCCCAATTATAAAATATATATGTATTTTATAATTGACAGTTTATTTATTTACTATTTAAATTATAGCAATTTTAAACTTATATTTAGTATAAAGAATTTTAAGAGAGTCGGCAGTTAGATCTAAAAAAATTTACATTAAATACATTATTCTTCTAGTAGCCATTACTGATTCATACATCTTTTTTTAAATATCTTTTTTAACACAATGTAGTCTAATTATAAAACTAGGATTTCATTTATTCTGGATTTAACTAAAAAAACTGCAGAAGGAAAACCAAAGATTATAAATAACCAAAAATCCTGAAGAATTTTTACAAAATTTTTTGAAAACTTTGAATCACTGAATTAAGCTAATTGTTGAATTCTGTATAAATATATAATATTAAAGATGAATGTGCATTATATATTTTTTCAAATGTTTTTGTAAAAATAAAAATATTGCATAACATCAAATATCTAGATTTTTTAATATATATGTTATATTTTTAAGACTATAAAAGACTGCAAATATAAAAATAAACATTTAATGTGTAACTTTATATATGATATTATGTGCCATCTTCTAATAAATACAGAGGGGCTGAAATGTCAGTTAATCAAAAGATACTTTAAGACTATTTTAGAAATGGTTAAAAGCAGCTTGAAATAGCTGCAACGTTCAATGAAATGATTGAATTATGAATAATGACTTGCAGCTATTCCAAACTAATTTTTAATTTTGAAAACATTAAACAATAAAATTTAGAAATCAGATTTTTATTTAAGTTATAAATTTATCATAAAATTTGATCATTTGATTTATAGGTAGACTGTTAATATTAAATTAAAATGTTAGATTTAATTTATCTTTACATAATAAACTCATTATTATTTAAGGTAAATACGTTTACAGTTGAAACAAAAGGGGCAGGAAGTGGTGGTTTAGGATTAGCAATTGAAGGTCCATCTGAGGCTAAAATGACATGTAGAGATAATCGAGATGGCTCGTGTACAGTTGAGTATATACCAACTGAAGAAGGTCAATACGATATTGGTATTAAGTTTGCTGATCAACATATATCTGGTGAGTTTTATTCAACTTATTTCCATTATATATCTTAGATTAAATTTGAAGTTTAAAAATTACTATTTAGGAAGTCCATTTAAGATTCCTGTTACTCAAGACGTTGATGCTTCTAAGGTGAAAGCTTATGGTCCTGGTGTAGAACCTAATAATTGTCGTGCTGGAGTTCCTCTATCTTTTACTGTTGATGCCAAGAAATCTGGAAAGGCTCCTCTTGATGTTGATATTCAGACTGATAGAGGTAATAGAAACTTTTTGACATTTAAATTATGAATTATGCTTGAAAAAATTAAGTTTTGTTTGTTTGTACAGGTCCTTTACCTAAAAAACCAGATATCAAAGATAATAGAGATGGAACATACACTGTTACTTATTTTCCTCCTCCAGAAAATAGCAAATGCAATGTAAATGTTAAATATGGTGGCAAACCCATACCTGGAAGGTAAAAAACTTTTCAACATATTTTAAAGATGTATTTTAAATATATTTATTTTAAAATGTTAATAGTAAATTAATATGTTCATATTTTTTTTAAATTTCTTCATTTTATAAGAGAGAGTTTTCTGTTAAAGAACCAATTACTTTAAATGATCAGGATATATCTATAATAGACAAAATGAGATTGAACATGTTCAAAGTCAGTCTGAACTTTAACTACTATCCTTATCTCATTATTTAAAGATTAAAATCCATATCATTTACATTTGTAATAATAAATAAATGACTTATATGAGATAGAAGTGTAATTAAATTTTTGATTATATTTGAATTTTTCAAAGTTTACTCTTAAAATTTGATTGCTAAACTATTTGGAATTTTTTACTCTTTTTCCTAAATTTTCTGAACTATAAACATTTTAGAATCAACTTTTTTGAATTTTTCTGGATTCAGTTTTTAAGAGTGGCTGTGCACTACATTTTTTTTTATAATATTAACAAAATTTTATAGTATATATTCATTTTTGTTAAATCATGAGAATTCCCTCAATAAAGGAAATATATTTTACTGAATTATTTTAAATTAAACATAAAAGTATTATATTTACATATTAGTACAAGTATTATATACAAGTTATTTATGTTAACATTACTATATTTAGCAGAAGAATTTGTAATCCTAAATTAATTTAATTTTAATAATGTAATCAAATATATATTAGTGACATTGTCATAATGATACAAATTAATCATCATAACATTGTTATATAGTTAACTAGCTTACCCATCGCGCATTGCTGCGATCTCAGAAGAAAGGAAATTCAAGCAAACTTGTTATGATAAAATTCAATTTACATTTTATCATTTTTATTGAAACTTATTATTATTATTATTATTAATTTTCATCGGGAAAACATTTCAAAGTGTTGTTTCAATTCTATTTATTTATTGGAGTGCTTGTGGATACACGATATTTTTTGTTTTTCCGTCTGATGCGTACACGAATAAATCAAAGTTTTCCGACACGTGAGTTGGCCACATACAGTCATCCATGCGAGAAGCACAGATTCTCCAAATTTAGCCCACACGCTTGCAGCGATTGTCAGAAGTGCAATATTCCCTATTTTTATATATATATTTTTAATCCTTTATAATTTTAATTATTTAATTGCTCCTTCCTCTCTTCCTTGGCATGTTGTGAAATTTCTGATAGTTGGATAATAAACCGTTTTATTGTAATTTGTCTTTTTAAATTATTTTGAGTTGATATTAAAATTTGGAAAAGGGGGATCCCTAGATCGGTAAAATAGGCGAATTTCCTTCTACAACTTTGGTTGTTGTTCATGATACAGTTAAGGCTTTAACAAAGTTCGAGCGATTACGTAATTAGCAAAAAAAAGTTGAAATAAAGTGATTAAACAAAAATTATTAC